TTGATGAAGCACCCCTGAACTTTTACTGCATTTAAACCAGGGAACAGCTTTGTATGTTTTGAAAAAGTATTTTATCTAACCAAGGGCATAGAGTAGGTTGTTTAGGCTGGGGGAGATTGCTTGTTGCGTAGTTGCTGATTGCTGACCTCGCTAGAAGGAAAACTGTATCAACAAAGTTCCGGAGCTAGAAGGGGGGTTACTTGGGGGGGAGCTGGAGGGGGGGTTACTTGCTGGGCTTGCTATACATGTCATCACATCAGCAAGTTAAACCTGTTATGTAGCTATATAAGGCAGACGCCCACTGGGGTGTGGGTGCCTGCTTTGCGAACGATTGCCAAGCACCACTTTCTGCGCAGAAATAAGGATTAAGTTGGATCCTTCACCCCTGTGTGTTTATTGGCACAAGCGCACCGGGCATGAACTCACTGTCCTTTGGGGACAACACCTGCTTCAAAATGGCAGCAGGAGTGATTTAACTAAAGCTCGTTCATTTTGGAGCCCTTTTAATTATAGTGCCCCCCCCTTGCCCCACCCCCAGAGCATGTGTAAAGATGTTCTAACTTTATAGCTGGTTGGACCTTTTAGTTGCATGATAGATACCTTGCATGTGTAGGTGGTCTCAATTAATTGTGCAATTAAACAGTTAATTGTTCAATACCTATAACATATAGGAGGGAGCCCAATGTTGACTCGCATTTAAAAAATATAATTTGAACACATACTGCTTCTTTCTTATAGTGTCCAAGTACATTAAAATAATTAAACAACATGAATTTTTTATTACAAAGGAACAATCTCTTGTGTCCTGAAGCAAAAGTCAGAAGTCTGTGGGGTAGATATGGTAACAGCTATTTTGCAATACCATTGAAAAAACAAGAAGCATGGTAAAACATAACAGTAAATAAGCACCAGCAGTCCCCAAGGATTTACAGTAACAGAGAGACTACCTCACCAAACAGTAAGCCCTATTCTTAGGACAAGCCACTAGACACCTACCACCTTTTGAGTGGGGGAATCAGAGAAAGTTGGAAGATAGTTTTAAAGCTCATAATAGCTATCAGATACCATATGGTTTGAGAAGCAACTTTTAAAAGTAACCTCAAAGAGTCATTTAGGCAGCTGTGCAGTAGGCCTGTGCAAAGTGGCTAATATTTGCTTCAGATGTGGATTCAGCCGATTCGGGGGACAGTGATTTGATTTGGTGATTTAAATCACTGTCCTGAATCAGTTTGGCCAAATCTGATTCGGAGATTCGGCCACTGCCAAATCAGCCAAATCTCCGAATCGGACAGGCCCCATCCCCTACCCACTCTCTCAGCCCCGCCAATGCCTGCCCTGTCCGGCCTCCTGCCAGGCAGGGGGCGATCCCCACTGCTCCCCATTGCCCTGCGCTGTCTGGGGGGGCTCTGCCATGAGTCTCCAAAGGCCCTGACAGCCACTACAGCAGCCGGTGAGTGCAGGGCTTTTTTTTTCAAGTGCCAGGATGCTGGGGCTGGGCGGGGCAACCATTTACAGGGCTGGGAGAGTGTGCAGGGGTCAGGGGTTGCTCAGAGGGGCTAGGGGAGCAGGCAGGGGATGGGGTCTGGTAGGGGTCCCCCCATAATCCCCTCCACCCTCCTCTAGCCCCCCCCGCCCCCTACTTACCAGCACAGAGCCTGGGTCCAGCTCCCTGTGGCGGTGAGCGGGGACTTCCTGAATCTCCAAATCTTCTATGAATTGATTCAGAGGCTTCTAATCCATTCAGACCTTTTAACTGGTCTCCCAATTTGATTCGGATTCAGAGATTCGGCTGCCAAATTGGGCCAAATCTCCTCCGAATTGAATCAGCAACCAAAGCTTAGCCTAGCTCTACTATCTAGGTTTCCTATGTGGATCCCTGTTGAAATCATAACTGGCTTTGAGAATGATTTGTGCTACAACAATCTGGTCCTTAGAATATTTACTTACCCATGGAAAGTGGGGATTTTGCATGACAGTTAGGGACTGAATATTTTATTTCCCTTACATTGTTAATTATAGAAACCAAAATCTGTTGCAATCACTTGATGCCATACTTATTATTCAGAAGGGAAATAACTAGAATAGTTGAGTAGTATCTAGTAGCAACTTGGATTTTTTAATCACTCTCTTTGTGTTCCTCATACATCTGCTTAATAACTAGTAACTTGAAGCAGCAACGTATTATGATGTTTGTAACAGTAATAATTTCCCATATCAGTAATTATTTGAATTGCAAAGTTCCTGAATACCAGCTAATAAAGTAGAAGGTTAAACATAATGAGTTCAGGTTATTGTATTCATAATGCAGCTTGCTTCACACTGCCCTTAGGCAGCAGAATAAATTGTTGCATTGATTAATGCGGTTACTAGAAATCTTACCAAGTTAGGTGACAGCAATGACTGGAAATGAAGAAGAACACCTGCATTAGCTATCTGTTCCAACCACCTTCTGCTGGCCTCTGAAGTCTCCATTTCATACTCTTTGCTGTTGTCAAACATCTGATTTAATGCAGCCATTAGTTGCTCAGAAAAAGCACAGACTGTGGCTACTAGACTTTGGCAGAAGACCATGTCTCGTCTGAGCTGTATTTCACTATCTATGAAGGGTAAATCAAAGAAGGAAAAGCAAAGAAAAGAGACAGAATAAATTAAGAGTAAAGCAACTGGATTGCAAGTTTTCTTGTTTTAAGAGCAGTTGTTCTCTGGAAAAAAATCTCATATTGCAGAAAACCTGGATACTAATTACATTTGGCTCCTTCTCAGGAAAAAGCCAAAACAAATTAAAAGAATGGTTTAAAAAGCTACAACCCACAAAACAGAATTTGGCTGGCATGAGCTCATCCTTCATTGAAGCACTGGCCACCAGCCAATGGAAAGGAAGTGTCCTTCATCTCAGACTTTGCTTGGTACCCAACAGACAAGGCTGTTTGGTTCCCAAAGAAGTAACACCTCTTTTAATAGCATCTGGGATTTACTTCATTGATTTGTAGTGTGTAATACCTGCAGTTCATAAACTACATATGTTCTTTTTAATAACATAAAGGGTCTATCCATGAAAGTTGATAAAGATGTTGGGATGCATCTGTGAAGAGACAGAAGCAGAGCTCTCCACCTCAAAGCAGGAATATGCAATTTGAAAAAATTAACAATGTGACAAGCCATTTAAAGCAAAAAAAGTCCTCACATTATAGGGTATGAGCGACTGCATAGCTTTGTGACTCAATACCTTTTAATTCCAGTAATGTAAAAATTAAGCAACATGATCTTCTATTTGAACTTTCGCAGTCATTTACACCTGGTTGAAGCAAATACATGCTTTTTCTCATTTGATAAAGTTATACACCCTTTTCTCTGTTGGTATAAATGACAAAGTAAAGGGCAATAGTGACTAGAATCCAATATAAATAGGCAGGATATCTACTCTGTTCCCAGTAAAGCACACTTACCTGCAACTTTGGCCACATATATGATCATTAGCCAGTTACCCTTTTTATCTGCACCATATATGCAAGTAAATGTATCTTTCTAGATTTTCTATGCCAGTTCTACTCTGGGCCTTGATAGCTTTCAACCTGCAATGCTGCAATTTCCTTCTCTAGGACCTCTCCAGGCTCCAGTTCTTTGGAATCTCGCACTTACGGAATTTTCACATCTATAGAGAAATGTGATATTGTCCCATCTCATATAATTCCAGTGGCCGCCTTCCCCCCCCCATAATGCAAACTGTTCTTCGTGCTTTTACAACCCTTTCATGGACTTGTATCTCTTGCAAACTGGGTTCTCTTTACACTCTTCATTCATGTTTTAATTGGTCTGTCCTCAACCCTACATTTTAAACACTTCATATTTTATTTTGACATTATTTATAATATCAAACTCAACAGCTTTCTATGCAACTACTTTTATTAAAAACTACATAAATGAGAGCTGTAGAATATATAATAGCATGTCAACTCTGCAAATCTTATTTTATAATATTAAACTTAATTTAGCCTAAAAAAATTGTTTAAAACATTCAGCCTTATTAAAAGGGAAACTGTTCTCTCTTTCATGAAGAACCTCAGCTTCTTTGGATATGGTTTGTTCTCAGATACCTGTCACAGAATATTACCAAAGAAGTATTTCAGCCAGTTACAACCCCCACTCCAGCTCCCCTACCCACTGAAAAAATCAAATGAGTTCTGCAAACAGATTTCTTATTGATATTACACATGTAGGTTCTTTAAGGCTAGGAACAGACATTCAAAAAGCCTAAGTCTGAATTGATTCACTCTTTGCAGGTTAGACTAAGCTGCTCAGCTTAAACTGATTAATAACAGGACATACATTCTCTGTTAAATCAGGAAATGCAGGCACATCCCTGCAGTAGCTCAAGCCAGAAGCTGGGGGTGGGGCAGGAGGAGGGGCTACAGCATGCCTGCCAGCCACTGCCAAAGGGAAGGGAAGAGAGAGGCCCTCCAAGGCTCTCACCCCTCCCTGATGGAGTGGAGTGGGCATGGCCAGGCACCAGCTGGGGCTAGCAGTACACACAGGATGCCAGCCTGGGTGGGGAGTGGGGGAAACTGCTGCTAGACTGAGGAGTGGGGATGGGAAAAAAGTCCTCTCTCTGAAGCAAGCATGTATTGAACACAGCAATTTGCAAAGCATACAACAGGGAACTACCAAAAATCTTTGCCTAAGCTAGGATACAGCCCGGTAAAACACAGTATACACAACTTAGTCTAACTTAAAATGTAAAACAGGAAGACAAGAGAAAGTCTTGCATAAGTCTTACTAATCCTGAGGGCAGAGCCAGGCATTCAGAAAGGCCTTGTTTAGGTTTCACAAATTCTGCTTTATAATGTAAATGTAGCTCTCTGCATTCTTTAATCCGCAACTTCCAGCTAGAAGCTGTCTGCAACTTCCCTTAACTCCATCTCCAGCACATACATGTGACGATTGTCAGGTCTTTGCCAACATTTCCCACCTCTTAGTCTGGTCCTGCAGGTCTTAGCTCTGGACTCACAGGTGAAAGTCTTGCCTTTCTCCCCGACTGCAGACCACTGTGGAATTAATCCTCTCCCTGGCTGCAGGCAAGCTGGACAGAAAGAGGAATTAATTTTGTCTCTGCCTGGCTGCAGGAAAGCCATGGAGGTATGGCTGGAGCTGGCAAACCCCAGCTGTCGTCCGCAGGGTTTGCCAGTGCAGGGAAGAGGGGATAGAGGGAGGAATTTGCCTTAGGGGCCATGGTAGGCCAGTGTCTGGCCATGTCCCACCCCTGTTCCAGCTAGAGAGCAGAGGGGAGGGGCCAGCAGAGAGCCCCACCCAGCCCAGAGAGCATGCTTTGATGCTGGGGGTCATCATGGGACAACATGGACCCAGAGGCAGAGTGGGGCAGGGAGGAGGGTTAGTCTTCCCTCTAGCCCCACTGGCAGCTGGGTCTGCGCATCACTGCTGCAGTGCTCACTCCCTGAGACAAAATAAGCCCCCTGCTCTCCCCTCCACCAGACACCAGAAGGAGGTGGAATAAACCTGTCCTTGACCCCACCCCCAAGGGGCCCTGCTGACTGGCATCTGACTATGCCCCTTCCCTCCAGTGTCTGGTGGAGGGAACAGCAGGGGTCTTATTCCACCACAGGGAGTGAGTACGGCAGCGATGGCAGGCAGACCCAGCTGCCAGTGGGGGTGGAGGGGAGACTAACCCCCCTCCCTGTCCCCCTCTGCCTCAGGGGCCATGGTGCCCCGCTGCTGCATCACTGAGGGGGGAGCACCAGGCAGACCTGACTCAGGTCCCTGCTGATGGGACTGAGAGGGGGAATTAAACCCCTCTCCAGCCAGTTCAGCCCAGGGTGGCCATTTCTCCCTCCCACCCTCCCACACATTTGCTTGCAGCTGAGAGTGCTCTCTAGTGCTCCCCAGCTCCTAGCCTGAGCAACTGCAGGCATGTGCCCACATTGTCTCAGTCTAGACAGAATGGCTGTCCTGTTATGAACTTATTTAATCTAGGCAGTTTAGGCAAACCTGCAAAGGTTGAATCTATTCTGGCTCCAGCTTTTTGAATGTCTGTCCCTGCCCCTAAGGGAATGATTTACTCTTGGGAGCCAGAGCTAAAATGAGAATCTCAGAGTTTGAACTCAAAGGTTCAATTTATATTAAATTTATATTATCTTAACACATTTCTTAAAAATTTTCCCACTGAGAAGGCGCATCTACATGTGCCCAAATACTAATGTAAATACTAAATGACTGTATGGTACCTGCTGGTATACTCTGCAACCCCAGTGGCACAGGGGTCATTTCCAACTGTACGTTGCTGTAGGAATGAGCTACAGCAATGTAGCTTGTTGCTACAGTGACATAGCATCTCGTGTCAATGTGCCCAAAAACAAATTTCTAACTTTTCATTTCCTACACAGAACAATTTTTTGAACAATTTCAGAATTTCTGTAAGAACAGGAATTCAAGGTTAGTATCTACTGCACCTGATTTTCTGGAGATAGTTTAGCTGGAGATCTTCTTGCTAGCACTTGTGCCTGCAATTAATTGTATCTGCTAAACTAACAAGCCTTGTAAGTATTGAACCAAGTCACTTTTTCTACACTAGCTATACTCAATTTAAATCCTTTGGAGAATTATTAATGAAGGTAATAGAGGCATCTAAGAAAGTACAAGAGAGAAGACTGGCATGATATGGGCATGATCAAAGGGGTCTGGAAGAATATATGGGAAAAGAAGTTATCAGAATGGCACTACCAGGGAAAAGGGGAAGAGGAAGATCAAAGATGTGATGGAGAAATATAGTGGCGAGGGACATGACAGAGAAGGAGATAGTATGACCAAAACCAGTGGAGAGCCAGAATCCCCAACAGCAACAAGCAAGGGAAGAAGAAAAAGAGTAAGGAGAATTATTAATAATTATAAAGGAAAACCATAACAAAATTTTGTTCCATTTTCCTTTATTTAGTGCTGTGGCTTGTCAAAACTGTTTGGTGTAATAGGAATACATATGGTACTGGAGTACAGTTACAATAACAGCTTTTATCATAAAATGCCATTGCTTCACTTGGCATTCAACCACCTGCAAAAGTTGTAGACTACCCACTTACTTTTATAAGTTTGCATATTTCAAATAGTTACTAATTCATGAAATTATGGTAAAGCAGTACACAGAACATGAAGAGCCATTTCCAAAAAGTAGAACTATCTTTTGTTTTTCAAACTACCCAATATATACTGAGCATAATTAAGTGAAAGAGAAGAGAGTGGAATGGCAAAGCAAGAAAAGATAACAAAGAAAGTAGGGCATGGGGAATCTGGAAATAAAGGGAGGAAAAAAATGAATGGGAAAATAATGATAAGGGTCAGAAAGAAGGCAGAGAAAAGATACCAAAAATATTTCAGACTAATTCAGGGCTTTGGCAGCACTTCATGTGTTGCGATCCAAAGTAAATGACACGGCAGGATGTTTGGAATACAACACAAACATGGCATGAGAATTCTGTCTTGTTTGTTACGGCTTTCAGTTAATATTTCCTGTCTCCTCAGGAATCCTTTGTGAGCTTGGGAAGGGGAGAATTCCACATTGCATCAAACCTGGTCAGTGGAATGATCCTTGCCCCTAGCCTCCCAGGGGAATTTTGGTTGATCTATAGTCACAATGACTCAACAGAAAATCTGTGAAGACAGATTCTACTGCTTCAAAAAAGCAAAGCATAAAATCCCCTTAAAATTCAGATTGGGACTTGCCCATTAAAATTACCTGTGTATTCAAGAAGTGCCAACAGCAGTCTTGCCTTCACCTCTGGGGGGAAAAAAGTTTTAGGACATCATCAAAATTATCCTATATATTGATGTATTTGCAATTCTCCTAATGTCATACTGATATAACTTGAGTGACTTCACTGAAGTAATTCATGTTTTACACCTATGAAATGGTAAATCAGGCTCATTTTTCATTACAGTTAACTTACTTTTACTTCACACTTGGTTAAATTACTCATAATCCAAGATCCAGGTCCTAAAAAGAGAAGTGTGCAGGTGGAGTATCCCTCCCTCCTGTGTAAGCATCCCTCCCTGGACCTCCCCACTGCACAGATGTGGTCAGTTTTAACCAAGTGTGAAGTAAAAATATACCATAGCAAAATGGTCATTCTCATTTTTAAGGATTTGGGAGTTTTGTATAAACATACTGTACAAGTTAAACATTGTTATGACCTGAAACCATACAACAGTCAGAAAACATCTTAATTTGGCATAAAACTTTTAAACATTTCAGAACAGGTTAAACCATGTTGCACTTCTAGCACATAAAAATACAGACAAGTCATCTAAAAAGTGCAGCAACTGAGATCCAGAATTTGAGCTAACTTTTTCTCTTTCATATTTTTGAAGGGAAAGGGCATTCTTATTGCTTTCGAGTCCATATTTAGTAAGAATAAGTTTCACAAGCAATATGTAAGGGAAACAAGTAATACTCCTACTCATATGAAGATTCTGATTTCATGAAAATACTGATTGTTGACCATAAAAAGCATAAAATGTTTTATATTTCATTAAGGTATGAAATGGTATGGTTCTGTAGCAGAACCATGAACAGAACAATTCTCCCAGATCTGAGCCTAGTGCCTTAAAGCTCTTTCTTCTTATGACAGTCTTCCAGGGTTACAGTTTTACCAGGTTTTTAATCATGATCACACCCTTTATACAGGCTCTCTAAGCACATTAATCCTGGCTTCTCTGTAAAGGTGAGCCAGAATTTCCTTAGTTCCAGAAGCAAAACCTCTGTTTTACTACGCACCTTTTTGTAGTGTAAGCCATGCTGGCTTGTCTCCTAAAGGGGATTTACGTTTACGGTGAAAGAATGCAAATGAAAAGAAATGCAACAGTGCAGGCAGCTTTTCCAAAAGAAGCCAGCATTGATACAGTTAGTGTCTGTGTAGTCATGTGATGCAGAGTTTTTCATTTAGCATAGCCAAGCTATACTAAGGGCAGTGGACTGGGACCATAGGGGACCTGGGTTCAGTCACCACTTCAGCAATTCAGTTGCCTCTACAGTATGTCATTGTATTATCTCAAGGACCTATACTTCATCAAGTATATAAGTATGTGGAAAATGTAGGAAGACAAGCCAGAAAAGTATAAAGCAAGCAAAAGACCCCCAAAGTCCAAGTTCATCTGGAATCTATCCCGACTATCCTTCTGAGGATATGCATACAGTGCACAGTGTAATGCCATGTAGGAAGATACCCACGTTACCTCTAATCCCCTTCTTAGCAGAATGTATTAGCTGAGAGTACTGCACTGTTTTGACTCTACTGAGTCCAGTACTCAGACTTTCCTGCATGGCACTGCATTGTACATTGGAGATATCCCTTTAAACAACAGACCCTTCATATTTAGCCTCTTTGTCCTCAACTCTGTGGCAGCATGGTAAAAGTTAATGTCCACTCCTTGGGGTGATCCTTTTTCAGATGTAGAGTGCCATCCACATCTTTGCTGGCCATTTTGTGTTAACTGAGGGTCTGCCTACCTGGGAAGGTTCCTGAAAAGTAACCTAGAGCAAGGGTGTCATACGAGGCCTTTGCGGTGGATCCAGCCCATGAAGCCATATGATTTGAACCATGGGTCTCTGAACCGACCCCACATACCACATGGGGCACATGCCAGCCTCAGCTCCAAATGCTGTATGTGATATGCAGGTGGACTCAGCACTGCACATGCTATACACAGCTCAGGGGTTTGGCCCAGAGCACCTGGACCAGACTAGTTTTGCCTGTTGGACCAGGGTTAGTCTGGCAGGGCACCGCATGCAGGACATGCCCCATGCTGGCCCCCTGTGCCACAGGAATTATGTATGGCCGATCCAGCCTATGCTCTGTGTGCAGCACAGGCCAGCCAAGGGGCTCACTCTGCGCATGGTGTGCGGGGTAGACCTGGCATTGCACACAGTATGGGGGAGAGTCTCACGCACAGGCTGCATGTGATGCCCTGTGCACTGGCTCTGGCATGTATGTGCAGCTTGGGGCCAGATCCAGACCGGTCCCATAGTCAGCACTCAGGACCAGTCCAGCAGGGTACTGTGTGCAATCCATGCCTCAGACCCCTCTGTGCTGCATGCACAAACGGTGCAGTTGGTCCCAATCCAGCCCACAGACACTCATCCAGCCTGCAGGGCTGGATGCATTTGCCACCACTGACCTAGAGCATGGATTTACAGAATACTAGCTTCTCCCAACTAACTCCCATGAGAATACTTATGGTATGCAGCAAGTGTAAGCTTGCTAAATGGAAGTCTCTGTGTCTAGGTGCTAGATACCTATGCACCGTTTACCTATATGTCACTTCACATCTAATGTAGGGAAGAGATTAACCCATTCATCCCTAGTGGCTCATAATACATAAGAAGGTGGAAAATAGAGCATGTATATTTTTATATGGATACTGCAAACATGTTTATATTTTCATATACTAGATGGGGAATAAGTCATTGAGATCATGTAACTACTCACTGTAGACCCAGCCAAATGGTTGAGAAGCCCCAGGTCCCCTGCAGTCTCCATCTACTGGCCTAACTACTTAACTTGAGAGACTATCTTACTACATTTGAAAAAATAGGCTTTGATGTTTCAATGAATATATTAACATTTTGTCTTAGGTGATGCATCAGACCTTGAGTTCATTGACAGTCTGGTTTGGATTTTGTGTACACTTAAAGACTGACATTTTCAAACCAGCAGCTGCTGATTTGGGGTACTGAATTTAAGAATATAGGGCCTGATTTCACCAGGGCTAGCATCCCCTTCAAAAGGTGATCAATATTTCAACCCTCAGGTGCACAATACCTCAGGCTGAACACAAAACAATCAAATCGCTTACAATTATTTATTACTGTTGAAAATCTGCCCATTAATTATTCTCACCAAGGAAGCTTTGAAAGCAAAGAAAGGGGATGTAACATGCTGATGATTTGACTTAGTGACTGAAGCTACTCTATATGGAAAAAATATTTTGTAATGTGAAGAATGTTGAAGCTATTTCTTGTGGCTGATTACATTTGTTGGATCTCTGAATTCAAAAGCATTTAAAGTGTCTATAAATAATGATCTAATTATGTGAAAATTATAGGACACAGCAACTTTCCCTCTCTACTTCAAAATGTATCTCTAAGCAAGAAACACTCAGGTTTTTTTTTATATCAATGATTTGGGTCTGGAAAGAACCTCAAATGTTTTCTGCATCAGTCATTTGTTATTCAGTTAGATATTATAACTTCTTTTTGCTGGATGGTGCAGGGAGTCAATTCCTCAGCAGTTTTCCTCCAGTTAGAAGGTATGATATTAATTGCTTCAAGTTTTCCCCCCTGTAAAAAACAGTTCCCAATTTATCCATTTTTTCTGATATTGTACCATTGTCTTTGCAACTGCCACTATATTAAAACTGACTTTCAAATATCAAATTGTGACTTCATGACCAACGTTTTAGTTTTATTGTATTTCTTATATTGAAGATGCTTAGGAAGTACCCATATTTACATCCATTCTTATCTTGTACAGTATACCCTCATAAATCTGGCATGCTCAGGACTGAGCACCTGCCAAAAATTTGAAAATTGTGGATTTTTGAAACCAGAGCAGCAGCCAGTTCTGAAGCAGCGGCTGCATGCGGACCAACGCCGCAAGGTGGTGGATGGCGGCAGCAGCCACTGCGTGCAAGCTTCCCCCTCCGCTGCTCTGTGACCAGTCACCACTATTTCCCAGTGTAATATATTTTTTAAAAGTGCTGAATTTTTGAGAATTCTGGATTTTTGCTATCTGGATTTATGAGGTTATACTGTAATATTTTTTATTATTCCCCATTTGACAATCTTAAATCCAAAACCACATGGACTTCCTTCACTACAAATTCTTTTTTCCTCCTATATACATTCATCCTGGCTAAATAGCAACATATTTTATGTCCTTTAATTCCTTCCTATTCCTCAGCAATTTGGTTTTTCCTCCCCTTCTAAGCACCGAGCCGGAAGCATTAAAGACACTAATGACCAGCTCCTGCATAAATGTCCCTAACTATATTGTAAGGTTCTGCCAGTAAAGCTACATCAATTAGAGATGTAAAAAGGTCAAACCATATAACCAATGAGGCTTTGCTGGCAAAGCCCCTAACACAGACACAGCTTCTTTTGTCTCTCTTTTGTAACTGTTAGCTGATCTCTTTCACCTCAAATGAAAACATTTCATTTTCACCTTCAAGGATCTGTACAAGCCTGCTTCACAGTTTGTCTCAAATCTTTGTACTCCCTGGTCTACCAGCTTGATATATCTGGTTTCCTATTCCCCAATAGGAATCTGCATCTTTTCTTTACCTATGCTCTAGAAATATCTTGCATAGACTTCTGTGCCACTTTTCCTACTACTTCCCTCATTTGATTGGCATTCTGATTCTGATTTCCACTGTCCTCTTGGCAGACTTCCTCCCACTCCACCCGCCCCCAAATATGATAGGACAAAGGTTACAATAAAAAGAAAACTCCACATCTGTTTTTATTTACTACCAACAATGCTTTTTTTAAAAATTCAAGTAGATATTTATGGGTATCTTTAAGTGTTCTCCCGTTTTCAGTAATGATAAGAATGTAGCTAAAAGACCCAAAAGATCAGTCTAAAGGCATTCTGAATTTTCTCTTTTCTTTACACTTATTACCCAAGAATAAATTTAACAAACACTGCAATCTAGGAGTTAAACATTTCTTACTTTAGTGGGTTTTCTACATCTCCATCTGCTTTAAATCACTAATCATTCTAAGTTAAAATAACATGTTATATTAGGCAACAGAAAAACAAAAATACAACAGCCTCTGAGATTTCTATGAAAACAAAAGCACGATTCAGTTTTTAACAAATGGATTTATTTAGTTACTCCAGTAATGGTCAAACAAGTTTTAAAATATCGTAACTTTTTATTTACGCCACCAAACAAAATTTCTTTTAAGCAGTGGTCAAAAAGGATCTGTGGGTCTCTACTGGCCACAGATCTAAATCTGATCTTTTTCTCAGATTTTAAATATCAAGACTTGGCTTCTACTTATTAGGAAACCAGAAGATTCACCCTGTTTCGACTTTGAAAATATTATGACACTCAACCTATTAGACCAAAGAGTTTCTGCTAGGCCTAACCAAGAGCGGGGTCACCAAGCTGTGTGACAACTGACCACACACATCCTCAAAATGTATGTCTATATACTAAACTGATAAACCATAAGTCAGTTCTTTAAATGGACTGACTCCTATGTTTTGTGCCTGGCTATTGAATCACAGGTGCAGCTTTCTTGCTGTTTTAGCATGACATCTGTTACCAGTACAAAACTTATTTAAAATAATTTATTTTAAATAATTTATTTTAAATAATGAAAGAGTTAAATATATTTAACTGCTTGTTTAATCTGCTTTTTATAACAGAATGCCAATCTGAAGTAATAATATTTTTATTCATTGTCCAGTTGAGTACCTTCTAATAAAACCACTGCTGTTTTATGGCAGTGTTATGAAAAGAGGAAGTTTATATTATGGAGAGGCAGCGAGGCATTTAGACCCTGCTGAATCCTCCTGCAAAATTCTCCAAGAAGCTTAAAGGACCTTGATTAGGGACTGTCACAAGGCACCAAGGGGTGCCTGCCCCTTTAAGAGAAGAAACAGCTTAGCAAAGGAGCCTGGCAGGCTACATAGAGCCCCACAGCTGCAGGTTGCCTGAGTAACAGGCTAACAAGGTAATTTGCTGGCACCTGCAGGCGGTCAGCTGACTGGAAGGAGGCACAAGAAAGCGGCCCAAGGCATCTGGGTGCCTGCTTTGCCATCTCCAAACGCAGTAAGACTCTAGGGGCTCACAAAGTACCCAGAGATAAAGGGGTCTGGTATTCTAAGGGGGGGGAGGGGGAGTTGGCCCTCTTAAAGGGGCAGAGTACTGCCTTTATTATTAATGTTATGTTGTAGCCCAGGGGCTTAGGTTTGTATTATTCTTTGAACTGGTGGACCGGAAAAAGGCTAATAGGGGAGAAGGAGGCTTCACTGGGGGCGCACAATTGTGTAGAGCCCCAGCACCAGAGGGGCACGAGCTGCAAGGGGCTGGAGAGCCCAGTGCCAGAGGAGCGTGAGCTGCAAGGGCCAGGGGCCCAGTAATAAGAGGAGTTTGTGGGCTAGTGGCTCAAAACCAGGCCCAATACAGTGGGTCTAGGCTAGAAGGCCAAGCTATATCAAAGGGGCGGAGTCTGAGTAGGCCAAGGCCCTAACAGAGCGTAACAGCAATGTAATACGTGTGAGGCATGGGGCATGGTAAAGGGGTGGTTGGAGCCAGGCAATTGGCCCATAAGGCTTGAGGTGTCTTGTGCAGCATTGTACTGAAGAGAGGCCTGGCAAAGCGCCTACAGATCAGAGAGCCTGAGTAAGTCCTGGTTCACTGAACCTAAGCGAAGGCTCGTGGGCAGACTCTCAAGTTATTTTTTTCCATCACAGATGTGGCAAGTGCAATAAGAGGGTGCCCTCAGGGCAGAGCTTGCACGGTCGCAGAGCCACCAGGGGCATCACGCTCCATGACAGGGACATGGACAATCCTCTCCTCCCTTATCTTAGGCCACCATTTGCTTAGGGCTTCCCAAATAGCCCCCTCCACAGATGAAACCCACACTGTCCCCCCACCACCAAACAGGTGGTATATAGCCCAGATCCTAGGGAGAAGCCCAAAGCATAAGACTAGTTCTAAAAAGGAAATAAGCATATATAAGCTACTTATGGACATAGTTGGGCATGAGCAGGATATTAAAGGTCTCCAAAGGATCAGTGAAGACCCAAGTTTTCATTTTTTTTAAAAACCCCACAGCAGGATAGTACTTATATTGACAAGTACTACTCAGCTGCAGAGTTGATTAGTTTCCTGCAGCCTAATAGGGCCATATGTGTAGACAGGAGATGGTTACTATGGAGCTAATTAGTCTACTCCACAGTAAACAACTCATGTAGACATGCCCAGCATAAACAAAAGGCAGGGAATGCAACACACCAAATGCCTTCAGTCCCAAAGCTCCCTTGAGTTCAATGGAAATAATCAAGCTCACTGACCACAATGGGTGTTGAAATAACTTAGCAGCAGCTCTTGAAGCTCCAAATGTCTCTTGCACCATTCCTCATATGGGACAATATTCCCTTTTGCATCTTTCCTTAGCCAGTCACTGAGATGCGCTTTTAAACTTCCCTCTGTTATGTTTACTACTGAGATGGCTGTTGTGAAATTTTTAACTTTCCCACTGGCTTACAAACCATGCCTTGGGGGCAACTTAATACTGTTATACAATACCTCTGCATCCTGTCTTTAACTGAGAGGTTATTATGTTTTTCTTACTGACCTTCAACAAATTTTCTAATGTTCTGTGCAAGATTTTGGACACTGCTGGGAAGGTTCCAGGGGTCTTGCTTGATGTGAAGTCGTAACCTCCTTGGACAACTAAGCTTAGGTTCCATTTCCTGCT